GATGAAAATGAAGATATAGATGATCGATTTATAGAAGATATTTATGATTTGAGGCAGATACTGCTTAAATCAATAGTTTCTCAAGTCAACTAATCTAATATTAAAGAAATTTGGCAAATAACGGACAAAAGACCAGGAAGCATTCAGAAAAGGCACTTTATTATTGTAGTAGATCCCATTTCTTATTTGTGTACGTGTATGTCCAACATATCTCGCGGCATAATATGTCGATATTACTTTCAAGTAATGTTAGTATCAGGAATTTCTGGATTTCATATTAGCATAGTTGCATCCCGTTGGTACTATGATAGCAAAAAAGAGGCAATTGACCAGAAAAACGTAGTTTTTTCAAATAAAGTTGCTAATCAAGCTCAACATAGTCAAACTATAGCATTGGTTCCTCAACCACCCACTGTTCCTCGTTCAGTAACAAAAAGTAACCGATGTGCAGCAGTTCGGCGTTTCAAATTTTGTGAAATTTGGGGTCTTGCACGGCAAGCCACACAGCTCGCTGTTGAGTGCGATGATGATGAGATGGTTCATTGGTTAAGAACTTTTATCAATAAAAAAAAACGGCAGCTAACACAAACTAGTGCACAAAATAATGAATTTGAGGAGGATGAAAAGGAAAACTTAACAGTTGCTAATCCACCTATTACTAAGCACAAGAGCAGACCTGAAACCAAACGATATAAGAGTGCAATGGAGAAAGCATGACGTCAGCTATATACTTGCCGAAATTGTGGTAAAACTGGGCACAATAGTGCTAGATGTCAGGAAAAAGGTAGTTAACTTTAGCATATAACGTATGTATATTGGGTAGAGCAGGGGTTATTGAAAGTTTGGCGCAATTGTTATTTGATATTATTTGATGAATTGCTATTTGATGTCTATGCTATTGATATTAATTAACTTTTGTGATTGTAACTCGAATATAATGTATATTAGAATAGACATATAGAAATTTGATAGTGTGTACGGTTAACAAGTTATTTGTATTTTACTTAGTGTTCTTTTTTTTAAAGTTTTCTTATACTAAGGTAAGTGTAGGTTATAGGAAAATCGAATATAGTACATACTATCATAGTTTGTGTATCTATTCTGATCATGATATTGTGTCATTACGTTATATATAGATCAAAATTCTAGGTAAACGATTATTTAAATTTTTATTGATAAGCCGTAATGTATACAGATTCTCATCAAAACAAGTTTCTCTAGTCATTGCTGTGCATTCTAAATTACAGCCTGAGTTATTTTGTACTATATAGGCATTTATGTTGTAAGTAGAAATCGAATTAAGATGATTTAAGGTTAGAGATAGTTCTATATCTACTTACAGCATAAATAATCAATGTTGGTGATATAGATGTTACGGGTTAAATTGGTTTTTAGATCAAGTTAAATTTGACTTGGGTCAAATTGATTCTAGCAGAATTTTAGGGTTAGAGCGGGCCAGAATTATATTAATGCTAGCTGGGGTTTTTTAATTAATCAATTTGACCCAGGTCAAGTATAACTTGATCTAAAAACTAATTTGATCCATAACATGAATACTAATGTAATAGTGATTTGAAATTTGAGATTTTTATTTAAAAATAATATAAACTTTGAAATTATATAAATAAATTAAAAAATCATGTGATTACGATGAGTATTATTGTATAGTGACAAATTACAAATATAACATACTGCAATAAATAAATTTTTCCTTAATATAATTACAGTACAATAAATTAATCTTCTTTGTTCGTTGTCTAGAAATACAAGTAAACAGACGATGAACAAAGAAAATTAATTAAATTTTTTAATCTAAATCTGATTTGGAAATTTAAAAGTTTTAGTAAGTTCCTTTTCTGGTTTTATTTTATCTTTTTTATCAGCTACGTATTAATAATGAATTTCTTTATTTAGTTAAACTATAAAATAAAGGAGCGAATATATAATCTCACTAAAAAAAAATGAAAGTAAAATCGAATAATAAATTTCATTGTATTAAAAAAAAAAATTACTACAAAGAAACAGAAATGTCTTTAGCTGGTGCTATTAACGTTGAAAAATACAATAACAAAGGTGAATTACAATATGATCATGACATTCAAGAATTTGAAAATCTACCTTTTAAAATTAAAGTTGAAACACTTGAAGATGAAGACAATTCTGCAAGACTTTTCTTTTTTAATTATGATCCAGAAAAAGAAATAGAAGTTCCTGAGGGAATTATTTGCAAAGATATAACTTTTAAAAAAAGTAAAATCAAAAAACCTCTACCAAATACAAATTATTTTTTAATTACGCATCCGATGAAATATATCATTTATTATGATCCTGTAAAAAAAAGAAAAACAACAAAGAAAACAAAAATTTACTCTATTAATTCTTAGAAAAAATATAGTATTCATAATTTTAGAAAAACTAATGAAATTTTAGAAGCTGAACACGAAAAGCGAGAGAAAAAAGAAAACAAAAGATTAAGCGATACAATTAATAGTATCACAGGTTTAGATTTAAATGATAGTGAATATGATGATGAAGATTCTGATGATAATATGGATATAAAAAAAGAATGATTTATTATGTAATTTATTTATTAATGTTTTTTTATATTTTTATATTACATATATATAAATAAAAAATATAAATAAATACTATTGTTATTATCATATAACATAAATAAAAAAATTTTTTACAAGACATTTTACATTTTGGTGTAAAAGTTAAATGTTTTATTCATTATTATTATTTTATTTTTATTGCTTTTAAATTTTAAACTTTCTGTAAGTTTCTTTTCTAGTTTTATTAATATTTTATCTTCGAGCATATAATTTAATTTTTTTATAATTTATTTGATTCTAAAATTAACAACTACTTTATTTAAATTAAACTTAATGTTTGTTTGTTAATGTTAATATTATTTATCAAATGGAGGTTTTGTAGAACAATCTGTTTTTTAAAATTTAAAAAAATATTTAACGATTTTTACATTAAAAAATTTGTAAAAGTAGAGAAAAAATTGAGATTCCTTCTTCAAGAGTAATAGAACTCTTAATACCTTGTTTTAAACAAAGTATCAAATTTGTCAGCTTCAATTAAAAGAAGCTAAAATTCTTTTATCATAGCAATTTCCAACTACGCAAAAAAATATTTATTGTATTAAACTTTTAACTTGTAAATAAATAACTAATTGTAAATAAACTTTTTTAATCAAGAATAATTTCTATTCCCATAATTCTAACAAAATAAATTTTTTTAAAAAAAAATTGATTTCTAATTGTTTAAAAATCACCCAATATTTACTTAATAATGGATTATTTAAACCCATTATTTATCGACGTTTCTTCGGAGTCACCGATTTTAAAAACAAATTGTATCAAATTTGTCAGCTTCAATAAAAAAACCAAATGTTCTTTCTCGTTCAATTCGTTTAACCAGTGTTATTCTTGTGAATTTCTTCGTTCTGTCCAAAAAATCTTTTAAAACAATCCTTTTTCGGTTTCGTCCTACCAAATTCTTAATTTTTTAAGATATGCCGATAATAAATTATCAATTGTGGTTGGTTCTTGTAACCAGCAAAAATTTTCTTTGCCGATTGGCTTGTCGGTTGAGAAAGACTTTATCGAGAAAGGAGAAATAAATTTGTTTCGTTGTACTGGAATCCAAATTACAATCTTTCCATTCGTATTTATTGATGAAGTTTTTCTCGTCAAATATGTAGATATTTGTTTCTTCTTTAATTCGAAGAAACCAGTAATTTGAAAGTATCGAAAATTCAAAGTGTTTTTATACATTCAAAATGGTTAAAATTTACTGTTTTATTTTCGTTTAATATAAAAAATATTCTGAAAATTGTTCAATTAAAGTATTCCAAAACCAAAATTGATATAAAGAAACAATCGCAATTGTAGTTACTATGTTTAATATAACTACAAAAAACCAAAAAAAAGTTTTTGATAAAAGTATTTTGTTTAAATATTGGTAAATATCATCCTGATATTTACCTTCAAAAAGGTTTGTAAGAAACAAACCAAAGATAACACAGAAAAAAATAAAAAGTACAAGGATTTTTGGAAATATTTTAAAAAGACTTGATTTGTAATTTTATTTGTGAAGATTTGTAAGTGATTAAACACAATCGCTACGAAGAAAATTGGATCTCTCTTTTATTTCTTTTCGAACAATATAATTTTTATTGAAAGAATTTTTTCAAAATAAATGTGTAGATTTACCTTTTATGGTTAAATTTGTTTTAAAATAAATATACTTGTAGAATAAAAGAACTTTCACACAACAAAATAATAAGTTTGTATAAAAATTCCTTTTATGGTTTGATTTGTTATCTGTTCAAAAATGAATACATAAAAATTACAAATGTAATTTTATTGGTTCACTATAAGTTCTTTTTCTGGTTTTATTAGATATCTGTGTGAATTTTTTAAATTTTTAAATTTGGAACTTTCTGTAATTCCTTTCTGGCTTTATTGGATATCTGTTGTGAATTTTTTTGTTTCGATCAAAAGATAAAATTTTAAATTTAAAACTTTTCTGTAAGTTCCTTTTCTGGCTTTATTAGATATCTGTGTGAATTTTTTTGTTTCGATCAAAAGACAAAATTTTAAATTTAAAACTTTCTGTAAGTTCTTTTTCTGGCTTTATTAGATAACTGTGTAAATTTTTTTGTTTCAATCAAAAGACAAAATTTTAAATTTAGAACTTTCTGTAAGTTCCTTTTCTGATAATTAGTATGATTTTACCAAATCAATAAATTAATTCACAATCATATCAAATCAGTAAATCAATGAATTTACCAAATCAATTTATTATCACACAAATCGAGACCTATTTTGAATTAAAAATTCTTCCAGAATTAGAAGGAATTAAATTTCTAAAAATAAATATCGCTTATAAACCAAAAATAAATTTATCAAATTTTATCAATCGGTTAGATAAGAAATTTAAAATACAAATTAGAAATTATAAAAAATAAACTTATTTTAAAAATACTTAAATCTGATTAGTCTTTATTAAATATTCAGTTTTAATTATATTCAAATTAACAAAATTTTACTTCTTTTCTATTTCTATTTCCTGTGATTTTATCATGAGCTATTTTAAATTCAATTGCTAGTTGTTTTGCTTGTTCTTTTGTTCTATTTTTTGTAATTCTAAAACTTTTACAATTTTTTTTTATAATTAATACACCATTGATATATCCATTTGTTATTATTGAAATAATTCCAAATCGGATGTGAGTTTA